CATCAAATCCAAAGATAGGAGGGTTCTGGCATCTCTGCCTCACTCTATGATCTATCTCTAGGCGAGATATCTTTGAATCTCACTGGTAATGAACACTTCACCACCTCGATTTCGAGGAATTCCATCAGTACCTACCTACCTAGGAATTAAAGTACCATACAAAGAAGGAGATGTATCTCTAATATTCCATCCCATCTCATACAATCCAGATATAATATGATAGCTTCATCCCAAACCAATGACTCAACATTATCCGATCGATATCCGTGATACCATTTTCCATACCTAGGGAATTATCAAAAAACGTGGGACAATCCATAGGAAAATCCTCACATTTCCATGCTATCTATCAAAATTCATACTGTGGTATTGGGTAGAGAACTGCAATGATACTTGGTCATGTAAACACGAGTCAGTACCAGTCCGGACTCCGTACACAGAACCTGAAGAAATACAATGGAACAACAATACAGCGATGTATCTATCTCCCTCCAGAGTCCAGCCTACCACCACAAAAAAGGTACAAGGAACCATTCCCAGCCTATTACAAACCCTAATAAACTTCAAATATCAAAAATCAAATTACATGCTCCGGTTCAGGTTCAAGTTTTCGGTTTAGCTACGCTTGCACAATTTTGTGTGCTTTCGTTTGGCTTGTCCAACTGTAGATCATGCTGCATGATGCCGCGTGGCAGCTACATCGTACATGAACGAATTGATTGCACACATTGCGGACGCCGCCATAACGGTTGTTTTGTTTATGGAGGGGCTGGAAAGGTTGAAGTGAAACATTATGCTAGGTGATGGAAGGAAGTTTGGAACGGGAGAAGATTCGAATACGCATGATCTGTGACACGGTGGGAGTGATTGGAGGGAACCAAGCTGAAGGGATGAATGGGTGGGAGAGAGAGGGAAAGGGAGAGAGAGAAAGATAGGATGGATGACGGGTATTTTATATAGGAGAGAAGCTGGTAAGTATTATGGGTATTTGTTATATTTTGTAATATTGTAGAGGACAGAGGACAGCAGAGAATAGAGGACGGAGCAGGGTAAGTAATAAGGAGTACCCAGTAGGTAGAAATAACAACTTATTGTTACAACCGAGGTCAGTACTCTCTATACATACTTTACTCCTACATAGAACTATATATTACAGTTCAGGTACACAGCAATAAGTCTCGCAGGCTGCATGATCGAGTCTCAGAGTGTCCAAAGAATACGAAATCAGAGCAAAGCAATCACGCCCTAGGTAACGCCATTCCATTTCATTATCTTATGTTGATGCATTTTAAAGATGGGGTGCATGGTTTTGGGGGAGATGTGCAGATTCGATTGGTGGTTTTAATTTGTTAGACGCTGTGGTTTCTCATGGGTTGGTGATGATATACCTAGGTCCGTCCTGGAGAGATGCTCCAATACAGTAACTGAATGACTTTTTGTATGTAGGTTTTGTGGAGTGGGTAGGTATGTAGCTAGGAATGTATATTCATTGCATTTGTTTTCTGCCTAGTGATATAGTGATTGGATCCTTTATGTGGTTTGTCCTCTGCATGCTGTGTATGTTGTGTATGTACACGGTAGACACATGTATGTAAGCAGTGTATGTGCGAATAGATGCATATCCATCTACCCAAAAACCAGGTACTCCTTGATAATATTGAGGCAGTGAAGAGAGAAAGATGGGAATGGTAGCGAGTAGTATGGAGTATGGAGTATGGAGTAAATCTAGACACACTCCTTTCTCTCGGAGTGACCGCCACCATCAACGATACTGTGCAGAAATTGTTCGTCTTCAACCAAGTACGTGAGTGCGTGCGTGGTTAAGTAACTTTTATTATGACCATGAATCTTTTCTTCTAGACTCTTGAATCTAGAAGACTTTGTGATTTAGATCATAAACTACGAAAAAGAGAAGGGTGACTAGTATTTCATAGTCATAAGCATAGTCATAGTCATGGTATCAACCAAGTATCAAGTAATAACAAACATTCCCGTAGTTTCATCCCTCCACGTTTCTCATTCGATATCAAAGCAAAATATCATAAACTGCTTGGATGGATGGATATCCTGGGGATGTTTCCCAATGTTTTTCCTTCACCGATACTTTTCCATTCCATCCATTATTGGTACCTTGAGTGTTATTAGTTATTAGTTTATTGATCTACTCACGAACCTAGGAAAAGGACCCTCTAAATTGATAAAGCTCCGAAGTGGAAGAAGCTCTTTCCTGCATCTTTTTCCCCCTCCCCCATCCACTCCATCTACCGGCCTCCTCAAAAGAGGTAGATAAGAAACAAATCTTTCCCAGCTTTATAAGGTAGTAAACATTGAGCATGAGCATGAGCATGAACATCATTGATCTATGAATATGAACATGAACATGAATATGAATATGATGACATCCGCATGAGCAATGTATACATGAACCAACCATATCATATGCTATCACATCAATCAATTGTGGCCGGCTTCATTTTCGCTTCTTTATTATTCGATGGATAATTCTACACTTCTACTTCTTTTTATTTGATAACCAGAGAGACTTGATTTCTTATATAGGAAAGGGGAAGAATACGAAAAATAGACACCTCCTTCTACCCTACTTACGCCCTTTCTTATCATCCTTCTCTCTCTCTCTCTCTCTCTCTCTCCCTCTCCCCATTCTTCATTCCTCTTTGCGCTGGTATCGCGAAACTTCCCCAAAAAACATTACAGTACAAATACAATACAATACAATACATTACAATACAACCCATCCCATCCCATCCCATCCCAACCCAACCCAACACAACACAACAACATAAAACCCCCCCCTTCACCAAACAATATCGATTTCCAATTCAACTTGGAAAAAAAAGATATTAACCTCTCAAGGAAGACAGACACGTCAAGACATCAGATTATCCAAAAAAAAAAAATAGAATTTTGTTATTTTTTCCTTATCGATTGCAGCAAATAAGAAATCACCCGCGATATCACCTTCCTGTACTTCTTTATCGCATATTCACCAATACCGCCCGCCGTTCCATGCCGTTATTGGGTCCTCACACAGGTCGCATATAATCATGGAACCCGTGCCTGAACTCCGCTCCCTCGAGGAATTCAGAGCATCGCCAGTACCAAGATTACGATTACAAGAATCCGCTCTCTACGATAGTCAAACTCCAATAAAGGATCGAGAACAATCTAGCAGACCTCCGAATCTTCGTCGAACTACAGATCCAATACCTCAAACACCTCGTTCCCCAGGATGGTCATCTCCTGTGACTCCTTTAATCCCCTTTCGTCCTCGAAATACCTCACCATATGCTAGAGGTCATTTTAGATCAAGATCAAACGGCAGTGCTCTTGCTCCTCCAATGTCGCGCGCACAATCACTTCCCGGCGTAAATGGGGCTGGTCATTTACTTATGTCTCCTCAAAGGCCGGCGAGTCCTTTGAGTTCACCAGCTAGAGTTCGCGTACCCAGAAAACCAGCAGATGAAGTATTCCCAGGCTTTCCGAATCGTGCTTTGATCAATATTAGTGAAGATGGTCAATCAGCGATAGAGGAGGATACTTCAAAGATGGCAGATCGAAGTGCCTCACCAATTTTAGGTATACCTTCTAATGGTAGTTATACACGAGTACGAAGACCAGCCTCCCCTTTACGACAGATTGCACCAACAAGTCCTTTCTACAGTGGCACAGCGCCTACGACACCATCCTCTTCGACCTCATCGACTTCATCTCCATCATACAACACCATGAAATTTGGCGAATCTTACCTCACATCCACCAATCCCACCAGTTCATTGTATTATTCTGGTTCATATGCATCTTCATCCGTTCCTTCCACACCTACCTCGACTCGATCTCGTAGCCCAAGTATATCTAGTTTGGAAACAATACCTGATACACCAGATGCAGAAGAAGCTGCCTTGGAAGCAGAAAGAATTGCTCAGTTGAAAGCTGCTGCAGATGCGGCGGATGGGTATGAAGGTGAAGATGCTAAATCTAGAGGATTAGACACTTCCGGAGGTCGTAACAGAGTTTTGGGAGGATTTGGTACACGAGACAAGAGAAAACGTTGGAGTGTTTGTGGTGCTGAAAGACGAGGTGATTTGAATCTAGATACTATTTGGGAGGATTGAGATTGTTCGAACTACGATACCACGATGACGAATGGCCATGAAAGTTTTATTTCATGAGAAGATTATGAACAGAAGAAGTCAGTTGTTTATGGGATGCGCTGTTCAAATTACACGGCTTCAGTACAAAATTCCGATTCGTCCCTGCTGTACTCCACAGTCGAATTGTCTAGATCGGCATATCTAGCAAAAATTGGAATACTGAATGTCAATCAGTACTTTCCCTTGCTCATAAATTATTGTACGATACCCCTTCAGCATTTTTGAGGGAATGGGTTTATTTCCCAAGGAGCATTATCATCGGAGTTATTGAGGGGTGGGTATGGTAGCATTGCAGAGGTTATTTGATTTTTCCCAAACTGTAAATAGGAATAACGAAAGTGGCATGGATGATTAGGTTGAATGATAATCGATTAGCTACTACGAAAGGGCGGGATGAAATTGAATTTGTGAAGTGTATGTGAATTATTTGTTGCTTTCTTTTCCTTGCCTTGGTTCGGTGGGTATTTGTGCTCCCTTGCACTTGGAACCCCCTTTCTTATAAGTTGATTTTGTCCCTCGCCTCGAGGAGATTACTATGGTAAATCTACCAAGGAGTAGTTTTGTTGGGAGAAAAGAAGTGTTTCTCCATATATTTATAAGATGCGATGGATATCCTTTCAGAAAATGGAAAGTTAGAGAGTAGCTCGCATAAGAACATACAGTCTTTTCCCTTGATCTCAGATCGTTCATTCGTTTCTTCACTCTCTTTTTGGTGATATTCATCACTTGATTGGTACTTCTTTATACTTTCTCATATTCACTAAAGGTTCTACTTATTGGCTTGTTAGCTGGTCGGTGTTTTTACATCTTGAGGTCACTCGATAAACAATGCAGCTCCTTACTGTTGTCGGCGCGATCGCCGTTTTGTCGAATGTCGTTTCGGCGGTTCCTCAACCGAGCGAGAAAAGTGTACGTTAATTCGTTTTCTTGATCCTGTTCTCCCCCTCCCCTTTCAAGTGAGGTATATGCACGTACTAAATAATCCTCAGGAACAAATTCAAGAAAAACGATGGGGTTGGCCGTGGAGTACGGATTCTGGCAAGGGTGGCCATGGTTCGTGGGGTGGCGATGATGATAATGACGACGACGATGACGATGATGATGATGATGATGATTCGAATACTTCGATTCGATCACTCTTACCATTTACACATCCGCATCTAGTGGCTGAAGAAACGAGAACTAGTACGACGGTTTCTGGTACTTCTTTTTCGACATTCGTATCGAGCTCGTCTATTGCTCGTTCTTCGGCAACAAATGGTTTGATTTCCGGAGGTGGAGGTGGAAGTCTCGAGACTACTATCTCGATTATTTCTACAGTTACAGATTCGATTCTTTCGGCTACTCCTGTTGTGATCGGAATATCAACATTAACCTCACCATCATCTACCCTTTCAGCAACCCTCATCATCGACAACACATCTCTCACTCTCTGCTCCGCACTCCCCACTAGCATCATTACCGTAACTGAGAGCTGCACGAGTACAGCATGGATTACGGTTATCGAGAGCGGAACTTGGACGATTACTCCTCTGCCATCTACTCCCGTATCGACTCCTTGGACCACTACACCGTTACCTTCGGGCTCTCCTTCGGGCTCACCATCAGGAGTCCCAGTCACAGGGGGAAATTCAACTGGGATCTGGACGGTGACTCCAGCGGAGACCTCGAGTAGAGTTTGGACGACGAGTAGGGGGAATGCGAGTGTAACTTCTGCGGTGGAAACGGGAACAGCAACGACCACAGGTTGGTCTAGTGTAAGTGCAGGACCTTCTGTATCGGGTAATTCATCATCGTGGGTATTATCTTCGTTGTCATCGATATCCGCGACATCGACTCCGGAGATTTCAACTCGGGAATCTACTTCGACTACGCTTCTTTTTTCTACGACTACTATTGCTTATTCTTCCTCCTCCTCCTCCTCCCTGTCCACTCCCATCTCCAGCTCCTCAACCCTCCCCTCCTCCTCCACCTTCTCCATCCCCGCCCTCCCCATCTCAACCGGCACCACCGATCTTCACCCCAGCACCACCATCGCTTTTACTACTACCGTCACCACTATCCAAGCCAGCGGAACCCCCAATCCCGCAGCTGTACATTGTGGACTCCATGGTTTACCGGTTGGAGATTATTTCTTGGCCGAGTTTGTAGAGGATAAAGCGGGGGTTGCTGTTACCTTACAGGGGTGTTGGGAATTTTGTGATGTGAGTTTTTTGGGGGGGCTTCTCTTACGCTCATTTGTTTGGGTTCTTCCATCTTGAATAATCCCTCCCCCCATTTCCACTACCCCTCTCTCTACTTTCCTTTACTTGACCTGATTCTTCTTTCAACATCTTGTTGAGAAATTAACTAACCCCAACAGGGCGTCTACGGCATAGACAAAGGTTGCGTATCCTACTCCTTCTATCCAGAACCCGGCACCGGCGCACCTAGATGTGATCTTTTTGGGGGAAGCGTGGCCCAGAGCTTGGATAGCATTATTCCGAGTGTGCCGAATGTGTGGTTTGATTTGGAGTGTGGGGATCCGAGTTTGAGGGGGTGATGAGGGGGTAATGTGGGAGGGAGGGGAGGAGAGGAGGGAAGGAGTAATGGAAGGGGAAGGGGAAAATAAAACGACATATAATAAGAAAGTGTGAAGTAGTGTTATAGAGAAGAGAGGTATGAATGAGGATGCAGGTGAGGGAAGAAGAATGTGCAAGGGGAAAGAGTAATAATGTCTAGTGCAATGGTGTTTTTCCTTTTTATTTTCATTCTTGTTTTCATTAGAGTTGTTTTTTTAGATTTTAGAGGGGAGGGGGAGGGGTAAATCGACTCTTATTATTTATTTGTTTATATTTGTTTTTTCATCTATTTTGTGACTTTGTAGCTGAATGCTATGACAAGTAAATTAGTATCAGAATGTATAATGTAGTATAAGAATGATTCCTTAGACCTATTTTTCGTTGAGGTTGAGGTTGATGTATGCTTGGGGTGATGGATTGATTGATTGAGTGAATGTTTCCTCTTTTTATCATTACCTTTTTTCTTTGTATAGGGAAGGGGAAGGGAGGGGGGAGTTGAGTAGATTATTCTTTTCGCTTTTAGTTTGTTACGATCACATACTAGAGGAAATCAATAAAGATCAAACAACTAAAATAAGAAAGTTAAAGAAAGAAGAAATTCTTAAAGGATCTCTTTATTTCTTATGTAATAACAATCACTTAATTCAAGTTAGCCTTGAATTAAAATATACATAATGAGTAATTACAATGTTATATATTATTCGTTAAATAGTTTAGTTCGATTCGCTTCTTTTATTTCGATTCGAGAGGTGATGTTATTATTATGTTTATTATTATTATGTTTATTATTATGATCATCTTGAGACTTAAGTAGAATAGAGTAATACCTTTCTAGTTTCTAATTTTTCATTTCCATAAGTAGTCATTGAACTTTGAATTTTCCGAATAGTTCTAATGTATACTGGTTTTGATATACGATAAGGGATTTGCGTATTAATACACACTTATAAGATTACGTTGATCTATTTCTGAGTTCTAATTACTTCACCTCCGAAAGCAAATCTACAAGCAAGTCTACAAATTGTATTTCTATTACAACATTTAATTAGTTTCATACAAACTTGTGCTTCTCCGAATCCCTATACTAGCAAATTGCAACAATATCATCGATATCAATATCAAATTCCTCGCTAGCTGTCAATCTCGCTAGCTGTCAATCTCCCCTTTAGCGCAAGTTAGGGTTGAAAGACACGGTATTGATGAACCTGCTTGATAAATGTAGGGAAGGTCCTTTAGTCATGTCTATGATATTTATAATCATTCTTGATTGTTGCTAGTAAGTTGTGGGAGACTAGTTATATAAAGGACGCTAGATAATACAATGAATGTCCTGTTAGTGATCACACGATGCACCTACCTAGACACTTATAAATGATTAGGAATTATATCATTCCAGATGAAAAGTCAATAGATAGATAGATAGATAGATAGATAGGGTGATAGTTGAGAAAACTAATCCTTTAGATAAGTTTTGGTATATGGATTGATTTGTTGAGAAGAGAAGAAAAGAAAAGGATATATATACATATATATATATATATCTCGTGGGAATACATCTCTCTCTCTCTCTCTCTCTCTCTCTCTCTCTCTACCTAGATAGCCTAGCTAGACAAACAAAATCGAAACAAAGAAAAAGAAACAGTAAAATTAATGCAATCAGCACAAGTATCTCCATCTCCATTCTCTTCGATCTATCTATCGAGCTCAAACAGAATAAAAAGCCAATAAATATGTTAGAATCCAATCATCTTCAGATAAGTAATCAAATGCCGGCAGCTTCATAAGTGCTAACAGACTAATCAGAGTGTGGTTCGTAATGAGAGACGATTTTTGTCGTTTTTGTGGCATATAGTTGCTATGGTATTGGCGAGTTACTATTTTGCTATTTCGCTGGAAACAGATAACATCTGATCACTGCTATTCGTTGCAGGGTTTTTCTTGCGATTTAAAGCACATATTTCCCTAGATGATAAGGCAGAGCTGCCCATGAGCTATCTTTTCGAATACATGTATGTATGTGCATGCATTCATGCTACAAAAATAGTTGTACCGCGAAACTATCATACTTCTACTCTACTTTCCACTAATATCATGACAGTAGGAACTTTCTTTGCGGCATTCCCCTCAATATACTTGGCTTCAGTCATGGTGGAGAGTGTGAGTTACTAGCTACATACACCACGAGACTCGAAACCCCTGATTCGAAATTGAACCACCTTAATAAACGAAACTGAAGAAAACAAAAATAGGAGATGGATATCCATCTTAGCGATTTGCTTTCTTATCCTTCTGTTTAGGGGTTTGGCATAATATTGTTAGCGCTAACTACAAATTCTGGATTATACGATATTCGTATTGAACATCCAACGTCATAATGTCTATTTCCATTTTTCTTTGATAATTTACTAATTCATTAATACCTCTTTCATCTCTAAATATTCCGAATTCCCATCACATTCAAAAGACTAAAATCAAATCAGATCTTGATTCTCATCATCCTAAAGAATTTCATCTATCCCATCCCATCACATAACACGAGAATAGGAAATACTATGAGAACAATGCAAGAATCTATATTCTCAAACTTCGAGGAGCAGGAACTCTGAACTTCTCTCTCTTCAAAAGTTATGACTTTCAAGCTGAGAGCCGTATAAATTCACATTATCTGTCTATAGTATAATCAGAGTGGTAGTCCCTCTTATTCGAAAGTAAATATCACACTTTTGTATACATTGTATATGAATGCGCTTAACATCTTGTTTCTTAACTCACGATATCCATCATACGGCTACATCCTTTATAAAACTCTTTACTTATTTAAGCGAATACGGTCTTCAACTCATCCTCGCTTGGCTAGAAAACGGTGCTAAAGTAATTGAACATGAGATAATAACTCATAGTAAGTGAATCTTCCTCTCGCAAGTTTGCATACGGTCATATAACCAAGTGACGTCACATGATAATTCAGGGTAAAAACCTAGGCTCCTAGTTCATTCTATCAGACTTCAAGCCCTAAAAATACGAGCCCTAAAGCCTAGAAACATTCTCTTACATACGAATAAATAAAATTCAATGAATAGAACATTAACTTACAAAACCGTATAAATAGGTAAACAATGATACAATATTTCGCACCAAGTATATTCATACGGCTACTGCCTAAGATACACATCGCCGTAAACATATTGAGTAGACCGAACCCTCTTACATCTCCCCCTTGTAAGGATCTAAAAATCCCAACCTCTCCAACTCATTCAATTCATCTTCTCTCTCTTCTTCTTCAACAGTCCAAACTCGAGAACTCAAACAAACTCCAAATCGGATTCTCAGATAACAAATCTACCAACCAACAACCCAAACCAGAGTACAGATCCTTCTCACTGCTCACACAAAACTACATCCAAGACTTTCGGATACAAATCCACGACTCCCAACCATCAAAATACAAACCAAAAAACTAGTCAAGATGATCTCGATGACTAGAACATCAAGAACCATCTACACAAACACCGTCGAAGGCACCCTAGTCTTCTTATCCCTTGCCGCGGCTATCTTCGGCCTCTGGGGTCTCGTGAGCTTTGTGCAAATGCTCCTACGCATTTCGCTCGGGATGTGAGGAACCCCTATCTGCAAAGTTGTTCGTAGGGGGGAAGGGGTGGAAGCTGCTGGGACTAGCAGGAGGATATGATAATCACGGGCTATCATATCCTTAGGCGCATGGAAGAACAGAGCTACTAGCACGGGCATACAACGCACTTGCGAATCATTTCATCGCAAGGATGTGAGAAATGAACGGGGGGCTAGGAGGGCAATATGGCCACACATATGGGAAATGCCATGTGGAAAGGCGGTGCGGCGGAATTTGCAGATGGGAATTGATATATGATGATAGACTACAAGTCTATTCCATCCAGATTGTGTCGATCCAAGGGTACCGGAAGATATTGCAAGGATTCACAAATAAATCAGTATCATACCAACTGAGTACAGTGAATGCATGAGGGAAAACAATAATGTGAAACCAAAGTCTCCAAAGTGAATTTGATACCAAGCTCGACTTGGTACGAGAAAGTTCGAGTCACATGGAGTGTACTAACTATTGAGATAATATAGCTGCTTGGTCCTACCTCGGAAGGGTTTCATCCTGAATCAGAAAGGGGGAATAACACCAAATTACAGAGTAGCAAATATTAGCGTCAATGCCTAGTCATCGTGAAAGAGAGTTGACATAAATTCGCGTATAATAGAACTTCGAGATTTGAATATTAAGGTAGTCCGGAAAACATATTTCCCAATTCAAATTTTAGATTTGGTTTCATCTAGAAGCTCATGACAGTGAAGAGGGACATGCAGAAGTGAAAAAGAAACCGTCAGTTATCAAGGTTGAAGTCTTCATCGAAACCGAATTAATATAAAAACAATAATCGACAGAATTGCAAACAACCATAATATCTCGCCCAGCACCTAAGTTTGCAACCTCGCATCTGTAAGCAGTGAAATCGACTTGAAATATCTCAAAAATGAATCACTTAATCATGGTTTTAAGTACATATATGCTGCTTAGAATTTTCATCATGGCCTCAACCCTCTCACTCACGACTTTCCTCTCCATAGACAACTTCAAACTCCTACACAAGATAAATCGATAGATAACAACATAAGAAAACCAAAGAGCCACATCGAACAGACCAGTCTCGCTTCGATAAGAGAGTCTTCATAAACTACCTACAGATATCAAGGATCATTGAAGCTCACTAAAATAAAATATTCGTCTACTCAAGAGGCGGAAACTATCAAGATTTTATATTCCAAATAAAATTTATATCTACAAAACTGATCTACCATATTGTATGCCGCGCCTAAAGAATCCATGCTTAAAGATCTATATCACAGTAAAGCTATCCCGTCCTTGCCCAGATAGCGCCCATTGAACCAATTCGCTTGCGAGGATGAAAAAAAAAACTAGAGAAAAAAAAAAACAGACATAATGAAGAATCTACCTAGCTGACTTTAGAGTGTAGTAAGTACTGGGGCAAGAAGTAAACCCAAGGTTCTAGTATCTTAAATTTCTCTCGCAAATCTACAAAATTTAGATCAGTAGGTCAATATTCTAAAGCTAGTTAACATCAGTAAATCAATATGCAGTGAGATAATCACAGTCGCCAATAATACTGTTGATCGTTTCGTTTGTGCCGCCGACTACCGCTCTAGCTTTCCTCCGTCGCGTAATCGCGCTCAATGGCCTTTGTCCTTATCCTGCGCACTCGGAGAAACATTGTATTTGACTTTATCCCAAATGTGGCTGAGCGCGCAATGTTTAACATGTTTTTCGAACCATTAAGTTACATGTAAAACACGTGCTCAGTGGTACATTGATTGTTATTTCGCGCCATTATCTTCCACTGATTTTCTTCACAAGACTAACACCACGGTAGGCTAATATAGACGTAATCAACCAAGTAACAGCGCATGCCATTCAAATCGACGTTTTAGATCGGTTGCGTGTACGTGCAGATCATATTACTGTACAATTGCTTCCTCCAGCAAAGTTAGGGCGTCCGCTTCTATTCCTTGACGTGTGGTATTCTCATGCATCGTTAGATTCGGTCAAAATTCCCAGAATGGTAGAAATTTCGCTGGCTCAGAAGGAGAAGGGACTGGAGAAGTAGATTGGGAGAGGTCAGTTGTGTCTACTTCTGTTGGTCGTCCGAAAAATGCAAAGTGAACGGACACTCGGTTGGTGAAAGGTACTGGGAATCCAAGTTCACTTAATTCTAAACCCATCCTTTGCGATTCTTTGTGTCTTGCTCCCAGTTCCCAGAATTGTTGGATCATTTGAGCAACCAGTGTACTATTCCACATCCCTTCTCGTCGCGGACATCTTAACAATAGCTCCATTGCCGTTTCTCGAATAGACATGTCAGGACAGTGGCTACAGACGTAATAAAGCGGCCCTATAAAGCCAAAATCGCTACTGAACGTAAGCGACGGCCTTCCATTCATCGCATCCTGTTCCGCAGCTGCAATTAGCGACTTTGACAAGTCGATAATGATTTGAAAGTCGTCCAAATATTTCAAGAACCTATCCGAGTCCAACAATCCAACCACAACTGTCAAATCACTGATGTCAGGACACATTCCAGCCATAATTTTCAACGTCGTGTGATGTATTTTCAGGAGTGCGGCACCTTGCACTTCCCTGCTGGTGAGATCCTTGCCTCTGGATGACATGAATTGTTCAAATGCAAGGTTCCAATGAGATAACTGGGATGTGTATTTGTCGAAATCTGCGAGGCTTTCTGTGGATTGTAAAATAATAGGTAGGCGGCGACTGTATGTCTTCAAGTTAGCATGTGTTTGGTAAATGAAATTAGTTTGGAAGTTTTATCATTTACTTACTCCAGCATATAATGTGCCCTAAATAAACCATCCGTGACCTGATCTAAACCATTCCGCGCGTCTTCTAGATTTTTAAATTTTTCATAACTTACAACATCTCTCCCGTCGACGTCTGTTAACTTTTCAACAAAGGTTGTCCTATCATGCCTACTTTTCGTCTCAACGTAAATGAAAGACTGTATCGATAATCTCCTGAAAATAGGAGCAATTTTCTCCTCAATGATTTGATTCCCTGGAGATGACTTCCTTATATCCCGCAGAATCACAAGCCCACTTTGAAGATGGACCATTGCTGATTCATAGTGGCCTCGTAGGCTATCAAAGCATACAAAGAGTATGCAGGACATGAGCGCCATGAGCGGTTCTTCCTTCCCGTGTGATAGAGACCTCCGCAGTGCACCCATGGCTTTCGAGTACTGATTCAGTGCCAATTGGGCATTTTGATCCTCCCCCGATGGGACGGAGTGCAACCTCTTCCGTGAGAAGTCTTCATGCAAGGCTCCTAGTGCTATCACGGCGTGTCGTAAAGCAGGCTTTTGAGTAGAAGCAGCCAGTATAAGATTTCCCCAAAATGAGGTATCAAAGTATCCAGATAGTTCCGCTGCTGTATTGCGAAGAAAAAATTCGAAGCCTCTTTTTTCCTCCGCAGTCCCGGGTATATGGATGGAGATTCGTTGAATGAGGGTTACACAGTCCTTGAAAGTTTGGTTGGATATCACAATGTCGCTACTATAACCATCGCACTTTCGTCCGGTCGTTGAACACCGCATACAGCTCGGTTTGGCCTCGTCGCACTTGATTCTCCTGGTTCTGAAAGCTGTGTGAGTTGATGTCCCATCTACGAGAGGGCAATCTGATCTTACTTGCAAGTCCCGCATCCTGTTTTAACCTTTGGGGCAGATCGTCGCTTGCGTTGCTGAATCTGATCTCTCGCCATCTCGCCGATTTAAATGATTTCATTCGAACAGCAGTAAGTCGTCAACCTGCCGGCCGACTTCGAAGCTCTTCTCTATATTTCATAGTCAAAATTCGGCGCAGCAACTTGTAGTCTGCCAGGTTGTTTGGGCTACATCTGCCGGCACGAAGGCACAAGGAAGTGTCGCCCAGAAGACGAAATCCCAGCCTGGTCCGTGCATAATCCACTAAGGCTGTTTTATCAAATAACTTTAATAACTTTAAAAACTTTAAAAACGTTAAAAACGTTAAAACCCTTAGAAGCTTTTAAATGAGTGATCACCTGCCTCTATGCAAAAGGTACTTTGTTTGGAGTAGACTTGACATCTTTCATTGGCAAGAAGATTAAAATGTGTCTATAGGGAAGATGAAGGGAAATTAACGGGGATGAGTTTGAGTGTAAAGATAATATTGATGGATTGACTGCTGAACTGGAAGGGAAACACAAGAGTTTCTCGAGGCTTCGAGCATCTCTACCGAGCGAGGAGCCACTTTCCAGCCTTCTAGTATCTACGGAGGTAAAATGTGATAAGTTGGTGCTACACCGCTTTTACATTGCCGCCAATAGAATCATTCTGCCCACAAAAGCTGATGCTGGCTAACGAAGCCGGCATAACATGCCGCCGTAAGCTGATACGAACCGACGAATCATAATCCATCAACGTGACTTCACAGGCGGATGAGTAAGCAAAGGTGCACAGGCATGTTCAAAACTCACAATCCCAAACTCAATCTCGAACTCAATAATTCATACTCTCTCGAGTCTATCTATGACATTGACCAGCTCTATCGATTTACCGCATGGAGGCTTCTTTCGCAGAATTGGCGGTACACTAGCAAGGACTGCAGCTTTTAGAGCCAATGGGCTCCCCTGCAAATGAAGTAAAACGCCCCGAAATAGAAGTAAAAGCATTCAATGGAAATACAATGCATATGGTGAATAATCTATCGAATTATTAAATTACACAATTACACAATTCCGCTCTTCATGGCAACCCTGATTCACGATGAGCTTAAAATGTAATCCTTGCTATGAACGGCCAATGTTGCGAAAGGCCACGCACGCCACGGAACCCGTCTACCGATCTACCGGTACCAATCTACCAAAGGATGTCCGATGCAAAGTACGAAGTACGAAGTAGACACTGCAGCAGAGGCAGCCACCTTCAGAATTCTTGCGCAATTGGAAAAACTCGTGAGCAAGATGGATCCAGTCACTGGTATCCATGATTCCATCAAGGCTTGCAATATCCACATTTTCTCTGCTGTTCTGGAACACGTAACACCTGCCCAGCTTACCATCGTTCAGACAAGTTCTGCCAGATTTTACACCAAATAAGCCTTTAATTCTCCATCCAAAAGGCTAATGGCAATATCGTCAAGCCACATGTAGAATGATGGATACGTTCGCAACGTGGGGTGCAGGTGGACGTTTCATTGACTCGTTTGACAGCCGCAATGCAATGTATTCGTCTGTGCCCTTGACCGCGATCTATTCGACCATAGACTGCCACATATCATGACCGTGAATTTGGCGAACAGAATGCTCGAACATGTTCTGTAGTACTGCGGTTTATCTTCGCCAACCATAGTCATGGGAACTGACAGCCACGGGGCGTCGAAACCATGTATCTTAGTCTGTAGATGCACCGTTGAGTCTAACCACGTCGCCCAGCTATTCATGTGTTTCGCGACCACACTATCTACGAGCACTTCCCACCTCGGTAGCTTCTACAATTACTACGGGGGTTTCTAATTCATGGGACTTTCTGATGATCTGCGCTGGCTGGACGGTTCTCACTGTCATCTTCTACACTATTGCTAGAATCAGATTCCTGGATAGTGTGTCGATCGGCTACGTTCATGTTGCCCTCGAAACTGTGGCTGTTCTTTCATGGCTCGCTAGTTTCATTGCTGTAGCTGTTCAGGTTTCAACTGACACATATTCGACCGGGAAAACCCCATGTAAGATTCTCATTGTGGCAACGGCCTTTGGTGCGCTCGAGTGACTGTTATTCACGATTACCGCAGCCTTGACTGCCATTTCCATCTTCAAATAGTTTCCAAGTCAAACACATTTAGGGCTGGACCTGATACAGCTATCTGATTGCTCTACATAATTCCTAGGGCTCTCAAAGTCATAAGGCCATAGAAAGTCCCCTTATCGTAGTTCAAGAACAGATATCTTTTCTGAAATAGTTGTGCGTACATTGTATGTTCCAAACGGGTTTCAAGGAGGCAAAAGATCTAGGCTTTGATACCACTACTTGATCGAAACACCTTCCAATTCTCCATTAAACACCCAGTTATGTTACATGATGAAATAGATTCACTCTGCTCAGACTATCTTTCTACTCGGATCAATCTCAGCTCATGATGAAAATGTTGACTTTGCTTTATTATCAAGAGGCTCGCTGACTTCAATTTCTTCCTGCGAAGGTTTGTCGGTAGAGTTGAGAGGTGCTATATCATAATGGTAACAATATCCAATACGAATGACTACCGTAACGTAGGTTATCAGTGTACAGCTCATATCACTATGCGGCCTACTTCAAAATACAACAAAATCAAGCTTTTCTTAATATTTATATTTTAATAATCAATCATTATTCTGAGAAAAAAAAAGACAATAGATTATAATGAAAATGAAATATTTATGACATTTAGTTTCTTTTCTAAATATTTCATTTTAGCTCAAAATTATTACACTTTGTATTTAACTTTATATTACAAAAACTTTTCTTTTTAATGACTCTAATAATAATTCGAATTTTCGAAAAATAACTAGATTTTTATAATACTAAATATGATTGGAATTTTTATATCAAATTTTGATGGAATTCTATTAGTAGATGAAGAAAGTGTATGGTTACTATTACGGGAGCTGCCTCTAGGGTCACGTGGAAGTGTCTAGAGATCTCTCGAAATGGTTTAGACTAAACTTCAAGTAGGAATTCAATAAGGTTGTAATTGATTGCAATTCTTATAACTATAATAATGAAACTAATAATTGTTCTTAAGCATGAAGTTTTACATTATAATAAAACCTATTTCCTTATATAGACCTTCGTTCTCTATCCTAATCCCTAGAACCTCTCCAATATATTGGATCGTTAAGGATCGCAATGCGCTCCAGAAGCGCTGAAGCTCCTTGACGCTCCATCACGTGTAATTTATATCATGTGACGCGGTATGTTGGATGCCGTCGTAACAGTTACACACTAACGAATTTTGTTTACAAAATGGAGTGAGCCATATAGTGATATGGGCCAGGTGTACACTGATAAACCACGTTAGTCAATTTTGAGATATTTAGAGTCTGTTGAAAGGGTGGGGCGGGGGTGGCTAGATGTGGCACAGACTCTGAAGCCGTTGCGCAGTCCCACGTGACTACAGGCAGAGAACTTCAACATCAAAACGTGATCATGCATGTCAGATCTGCAATTAGTTATCGGATGTACAGCGACAAAATGTCCCCAAGAGTTGTAGATAGTTGGAGAGTAATATGATACACCGAACTACAGATCATCCATTGAGAGTATCACTGAACTGGTAGTACATTCTTTGGTTGGATTATCTTTGAATCGTGAAGTCCGCATTCACAAGCTGAAATCGGCCAGCTTTCTATGCGTGCAAGCCACACACTTTTTAGAATGTCAACTCGAACGAAAACCGTATGTGTGATTGGTGAGTGCACTCATCTTCCGAGGGTTGCGTGACTAACATTCACGGATTAGGCGCTGGTCCCTCAGGGCTCGTAGCAGCCAAAACACTCACTCACGATCATCAAAAAGGTACCTTTGACGTGACGGTTTTTGAGCAGTCGCAGAGAATAGGTGGATTGTGGCCTATATCTCTTGATGACGATGGCCTTTTGAATCCAGATATGTGTACAAACCAAAGTCGTCATACAGTCAGCTTCAGTGACTTGGCATGGTCCGCTTCATCGCCTGCTTTTCCGAAAGCATGGCAGGTTGGGAAATACCTCGAAGACTATATCAAAATGTACCCTGGATATTCAATCAAGACGGGTGTCAAGGTATCCAAGGTCGAACCGCCATACGATTGGCAAACTACTTCAGCCACGTCAGGGAAATGGAAAGTGCATGTTCAACCTACTGAGTCTACCGAATCCCTACAGGTTCACGAATTTGATCAAGTAATTGTGGCCACGGGTTTCTTTGGAAAGCCTAAGATACCTGATACTGTTGCAAATCTTCCAGCTCCAGTCTGGCACAGTTCCAACCTTCGTGATGTCAACAGTGCGTTAACCGACAATGGAAGACTCTCTTCACCTAAGGGCAAGAACATTGTGGTTGTTGGAGGGCAAATGTCTGGCGTCGAAACCGCAGCAGCAATAGCTTTGCAGCTATCCTCTTCCGTCAACTCCACAGAACCTCCGATTCCAAATGCAAAAGAATACAAGGTCTACAATGTGATTCAACAGCCATTTTGGGTGATGACCTTAACACTACCAAACAACCCGAACGTTGATGGTGTAAAGCCCGAAGCTGAAAAGGTAACTAACACCTATCTAACAGTTGGAACTTACTGCTGCTAAATCTCGCTTCAGATATCAAATCCTGCACCAACATTCTTACCCCTCGATCTGGTCATGTACAATCTTGGATGGAAACCTCCTGGGCCTCTCAAAAACTCATCTGGTCACATATCACCAGAGATGGCAAAAATGACTAACGAATTCTTAAACAAGTATCTGGGGACCGACCAGAGCGGAATAGGTACAGATCATCTAGCAATAGCAGGAGATGTTCGTTTTGAACCACCACGACTTACGGTTAGCGACAATTATGTCGAGTTTGTTCGAGCTGGAGATATCAAAACGATTCGAGGAAAGGTGATCAGTGCGGAACTCAATCAATCAAATTCCATCACTGTCGAAGAGAACGGAACTCAACAGGTAATTAACGATGTTGCAGCAGTGATCCTGGCAACTGGTTTTGATGCATCTCCATCACTGGATTTTCTGCCCAAGGAAATCCTCCAACATCTCTCGTTTGATGAATCAAGCAGCGAACTACCGCTAGCCTTAAATGTACACTCTACAGTCAATGCAAAGATTCCCTCTCTCGGCTTTGTAGGGTTCTACCGAAGTCCTTATTGGGGCGTTATGGAAATGCAAGCTCGATTCCTGGGAAAACTCTGGTCTGGCGACACACATGCACGGAAAATCCTAGAATTAGACAACACCCTCGATGAACTTCTTCAGCTACGCACTGATCCTCGACTCGCTCAATTTCCAATGGGTGATTATGCATACTTAATGGAATCATTCGCCACAGCCGTCGGGATCAAACGGCAAGAACCCACAGACGACCCAAAAGCACGTACAGGAATCGTGCTTCCATCCCGCTATATTTATTCACACGCAAGCCCTGCTCAGAAAGAACAAGCAGAACTCGCTCTCTCTGCCATTTTTTCCACATTCGATTCCTCCACACGCGGAACCTTTGTCTCCAAGGCCATATTCCGTTCACTCCAAGGGTCATGGAGACTTTCTCGCTCTCTAAAAAGTTCTCTCTCTACCTTCCCCTCTGGTACCTTCACGGGAACCGCAAAATTTCTTCCTCGCTTCCCTACAACCCCATCTTTCGATTCAGAATACTTATATATTGAGGAAGGAGATTTCGTAACGGATACAGGAATGACATTTAAAGCCAGTAGAAGATACGTATACCGGTATAGAGAGGATACTGATAAACTTAGTGTGTGGTTTGTCAAACCTGATGATAATTTGGGTGTGGATTATTTGTTCCATGAGATGGAGATTTTAGTTCCTGAAGTTCAAGATAAGATGGATGGACAGGGAAAGAGTAAGGGATGGAGAGCAAAGTCAAGTCATCTTTGTATTGCTGATACGTATGATGTGGAATATGAGTTTAGATTCAAGGGGGTCAATGTCGAGGAGTGGAGACAAGAATACAGTGTAAAAGGGCCAAATAAGGATTACAGGATCAAAAATGAGTATAGAAGGTAGATTCAGTTGATCGTAGAGGTACTGTGGGTGATTGCGGAAGTCTCTAGGCGATTGACAATTCAGAAGTTCTATCGGACTATACCCTCGAGATTTTCAATTTAGTGCGTGCAAATCGTGCATCTTCATCGCCAACGCTACAGATCTTCAGCTTTTTCCTTTATCCAATACTGCCACAATACATTCGTGATTTCCTGCTATCTTCTAATTGTAGGATAGGCTCATTTGCATCTACCTATTGAGAGTCATATTCCAAATATTGTCGGGAGACCGTTATTTTGTCATGAATCACTGGCTGCCGGCAACAAATGATTTTTTTATATTTTGTCGTTCATCAACTAGTGTCACTAGCGGAAGTAAAAACCGACCGCATCAAAAAGAGACCCAACTTGACGTATTGCTTGGTGACCCGGTCTAAATTCCAGCTCTTAACCAATTGCGATGCAATGCGATACACGATGGCCAGACTATGTTGCCATCATATGTTCTAATGCTCAATATTCTAATCAAGATTGAACTCTCGGCTCTTTCTTCAAAACTTCACAGCGACATCGTGTGAAATCCACCTTGGACATCGCGACATCTGATAAGAACAATCCATTTTCTCGCTCGAAAGTTTTGTACCCATGCATATGGGACATGTGCATAGGGATGGAATTCTCATAGCAAGTATGCTACCCTACTATCAGCATCAATGGGAAGGTGCTTTCGAAATGTATAGTACAGATCCATTCTCAATACTACTCGCGCCATCGATGACATCTTCGAAGATGGCGATTCGCATGACACCCAACAAAAGATCTGCCGAAAGTCATAACCTTCCCCAACAACAAGGGCATCAAGCTTATCTCGCCAAGGTCCCATGATATTGCGTCTGCAATGTATTCCTTCGGACGCAAAAATCCACAACATCACATGCAAAAACTATCTTTTCCACCAACCGTTGTTACTCCCACATCACGGGTTTCTTGTTCGGGCCGTTAATCCCCAGGTCGAAGATCTAGTGTGGAAATC